AGTTGAATTGGTAGAAAAGATTGAAGTTAGATGGATGGCAGCTTGAAAATTGGTCTGTGCTACTCTGACTTGCTTAGTGTCCACTGGAGAAAATGCAGTTTTGTGTCAAAATTGTGCTCTTTCTCATCAAAAGATCAAAATGAGAGTTAATCTCCTGCCCTCTTGTGATTGTGTGGGTGTGAATTGCTCTTCTGTGGGATGTTGGGTTGGGGTTTTGTGGTGGGTTTATTTCTAGTGCCTGTTGGTTATGAACTAGGGGTTTTAAATCAGGCCTCCAGAGAAACACAGCTGTCTTCTTACTGTCTTCTTACATGCTATGAAGCATTCAAAGGAAAACTGACAGCTGTTTTCTGGAAAATACTGATTTTTCTTTGCTTTAGTTGGTAACATTCAGTGTTACCAGAACTGGTTTAAATATTCTTTCCTTCTGTATTTTGGGAGTTCTATTGGTTGCTTCCCAGTTCCATCCTAGTTCTGGGGTAAGGGACAGACATAGCCTGTCTCCCCCACCTCTGACTCTTTCTCTTAAACCAACGTGTAGAGAAAAAGGTGCCTGATACAGTGTCTGTGTGGTGGCCAAAATGCAATTAGTCTATGCAGGCATACTTTCAAAGGTTAGAAGAAACACTTTTAGTTGTTTGTGAACTATGAGAGAAAAAGACAATTGACTTTGAGATTTATAATGTTTGCAGTTCATTCTTCTCTGGTTTCTTCTGTAACCACTTCATTGTCCCCATTTCTGTCCAACACTCAGTTACATTGGTTCACTGACTATTATGAAACAATCACAATCTATTTTAATTGCTGGTTTTCTGAAATACCTGTAACAATTTTGTTCTCAGTCCTGGACTTTAGACATCTAATTTGTTGCTATCCAGCATCTTGCACCTTTTAGGTGCTGAGAAGGCTCTTCCTTCCTGCAGAGTAGGCAGGCACATGATTTTGCCATCTCCAGCTCTCAGTGCCCCTGGGAGAAGCCCAGTTCAGTATCCATGAACGTTCCTGCCTCCTTCACTCACACACAGTTTGGGGAGGGTGCTCTGAAATGGTCATCCTTGGCACGGGTTCCCTGTGCTGGGAACATGCTCTGAGGTGGATGGGATACCCTTCGTTCTTGCATTTATTTAGTACCAGGGCAGCCCATGGGTATGATTCAGATATTGTAACCCTCATGCAAGGTATAAATATTTGTCTTAAATGGGATTGTAACTTGCTTGTTTTAAAAGAATAGTGTGAAATCAGCATAGGTGGCTTTTCTTCCACAGAAGTGTCTGTGTGGTTTCTCCATCACACCCAGAAGAAATCCAGGGGGCTCAGAGTTTTGTCTGTAGAAGGGAGTCCTGAAGAAACTGGAACTAAAATAGATATTAAAAAAAAAAGAAAAATAAACAAAAAAAAAAGTAAAACATTCTTCTGTGTGTGTCACAGTAGTTCAAAATTGAGTTATCAAAATTTTTGTAGTTTTTTTTTGTTTTTTTTGAAAGATAATTATGAGTAGTTGTGTAGCAGCATCAACTACAGTGCTAAACTCAGACTGCAACACACTGAAAAATATATGAATAATGGCACAGAATGTTAAATGCCCTAACATTATCCTGCTACCGCACCAACTTTAAACATTTACACTTTTCAGAGGAACAGCAACTTAATTCTTAATTAAAATCACTGAGCAAATGCAGATTATATTTAATTTAAATATTTATAGAATTTGTTTAAGCTTTCAAAATAGATTAGACGTCAGACAGCAAAACTGCTAACATCTGAATGATAATTTTACTTCTGAGCCCAATTAAGAAACTAGTCAGGAGCACAGCTAATAAATAGCCACGTTTGAGGAAATACTTTAACAGTGTTGTATGTACAGAAGGCCTTTAAAAATTAGTCCTCTAAAGCAAAAGGGATATTTAGAAAAATTTTGCTGTATCTGATAGTATCTTAAAATCTTGCATTGTCTCTTTGCTTTCTGGGAGTTGCAGTTCTTCCTGTTACCCTAAGTACGACTGCATAAAGTATACAGTGAACCAAAGACAGATCAAAACACACCAACGTGCCAATCCACTTGATTTTTGTGATGCTAAACATGTTAAATTGAAGCACATGCTTATTCCAGTTGATTTTAGTTAGTCAACACATATAAAGTTAAGCATGCAGGTCAATGTTTTCAGAGTAGAAGTACAAGCGTTGTATAAAGAAGATTTTTACAATTTTAAGGATATTTCTCTCAGTAAAAAAGTTATTTGCACTAAAATATTCCCCCCATCAGTATTGCTTTGGTAACCCAGTATATCCTTTGGCACAGCATTTTCTCAAATGTGGCTCAGCCACAGACCCAGACTGCCGAGGCTTTTTCAGGGACCAGTTCAAACTCTTGGGTTCTCATTCCTGTTCTCCCCTAAGCCAGTTTTCTTCCTGTTTTTTTTTTTTTTTTTTTTTCATTTTCAGAAACACTTTCCCTATTGCATTTGTCTGTCACATGCCTAAAAGTGATAATATCCTACAAGCTTTAGGATGATTTAATGTAACTTGTAGGCTTAACTCTGCAAAAATGTTCATGTTGCCCAAATAACCTGATATCTGTGAAATCTTTCAGGACTGAGTTTGAACTTTCTGGAAATCTGTCTGGCAGTCTCATATTTTTCAGTGTGGCAACAAGTGCTCCTGAGATTAAAAGGCTTTTTGTGTCTTTCATAGAGATGTTACAGCAGTACTTCTTAACTTGCCTTACAGTCTTGGTTTTTACTCTGTATTATGAAGTCTGTAAGAGCTGCAAGATCTTTTCTGATTTTCCTTTATAGTGCTACTAAACATTATGTGAATTGCTTTAGATTGTGTTTCCTGTCTATTTGTACACTGCTGTTTAGGCTGGAATATAGCATGTGTTTAATTTTTCCTTGGCCTCATTACATTTCATTCCCTGCTTCAGTGCATCATCTGTCTCGTTAGTCCATAAATCTGATCTATTCTAATCACTGTAAATTCTCTGTTTCCCCTAGCTGTGTGTCACCAGCAACACTAGTCGCTTTGGAAATTGCTTTCCTGAAAGGTCATTTTACAAAGGATAGAGGAGGAGGCATTGTGCAGTGCTGGTGCACAAGGCTGGGGGTTGTCACTCGTCTCAGGCTCAGAGCTGCTGCTGCAGGAATGCCAGTGAACGTGCCTGTGAACTCCTCTGTCACATGCTGAGATGGTCACCAAGGGGAGCACCTTGGGCCTCAAACAACTAGCATGGGGAAGTCTTCATTTGGGCTTGTGATCACTATGCAGTATAAATATGGTGGGGCGGCCTGGTAATGCACAAGTTACCAGTTCAGTGTCACTTTTGCTGGAAAAAGGACTTCTTTGAAGATAGAGATTTTGTGGTACATAGAAACAGGCAGGGATGCAGAGCCAAGGACACGCAATGGGTGTTCCATCACGGGATCCTCTTATACAAAAACACACTGTGCAAGTCACCTGTGCCTCCTGCTTGGCTTTCTCTCCTCTTCCAAGAGCACTGATGGGCTGATATTGATATGACAGTAGGTCTGTGGGTTAGCTGAGATCAGTTACAGTCAGTAATTTTCCTCCAATTTTCATGCTTGGAGGTGTCAGTGCCTCCACTATGCTCTTGTTTCTGTGCTGATTGTGCCTTGGGGCTGGTTTGGTGCTGCAGACATTGTGCTGCAGCCAACAAGCATCTGCTCACAGCCTTCCTTTTTCTGCTGCTTCCCCCACTCACTTAGCACTTCTGCACTGTGTTAGATATCCACAGGAAACTTGGGCAGAGATTTCCATCTTCCCTGGATGCCTGTACAGCCTCGGCATTGAGGCTTGCCTGGTGCTGCTCTGGGTCTCTGTGGGTGTGTAGGGTGCACTGTGGAGTTTTGTCATTCTATTTTTCTTAGGCTGTGCAGCAGAGAGGTTTTGGAGCAAGAGCTGCTCAGTTCCTCAAACTACCACGTTTTTCCCTGGCCTGGGCTCCTATGCTGTCACGCTGTGGTCCATGATATGGGTATTTGCTCATGGCTACAATTCACTCTTGCAAAAGGGTGTTGTCCACTGTCTTGGATAAGTGAGTTTAAGATTCATGAATGAAAAGAACAGGATGAAAGTTAAATGCTTTCCTGAATCCCTCCATTCTGTTTTTTACCTCTTTCTGATATTTAGCTTAAACAGGAGAGTAAATGGGAATGGAAACTTGCGAAATTTTGGTTGGATTACTGAAGGGCAGTTTCCACAGCCATGTGACACTACTACATCAAAATTCTATGACACTGTTTCATAGTGGTTTTAATTAATCAATTTAATTTAATTTTGTGAGGTTTAGTAGGTTTTTAATGACCTTTTGAATTTGTTTCTGTTTGTGGGTTATTACTTGCTTTTCTAGCCCAGGGGTGCTGCATGTGTCATGCTATATTAGCTTTGATAGTCCACTGGTGATGGCAGAGGGTATAAATTCTCCCTGTTGCACAGAAATATGCCCCTCCCTTCTGCTAATTTGTCAGATATGCTACTTTAATTAACAAACTTAATGCTTAGGGATCTGATTGCTGAAAAGCTTTGGTGACATATTAAAGCTTCCTGGCTGGAGCTGCTTTGTTGTGTTTGCAGAAGATCCATTCTAACCACTGCAAGTTTGCATCAGTGGAACCCAGAGAAGAAATTCAGCTATAAAGCAGATTAAATAAAGAAGTAGAGTGGAGGAGAGTGGTGTGAGTTCTTGCTGATGCTTGTGTGATAAAAGCTGCTTGCATCTGAAGATGTCAATTATGGGCAATTTTTCCTTGGTGTTGTGAGGTTTGAATTACTCAGAATGAGGTTTAATGATAAAATACTAACAGTAGAACAAGTTCTGAGTAAGCCACAGCTGACCGAGCCTTCTGACTAAAAGGATCTTATCTAATGGACTATTCTAATGAAGGTGTTTCAAACATACTGTGTAAAAGCCATAGATGTTTAAATTTGAAGGATAAACGTTCTTCATTCATCTCTCTCTCTCCATTTCTTTCTCCTCCCCAAAGGTCTCTTCATGTGTGAGTCTCGTCCCCACTGAGCAGTTCAGCTTGCTGCCATCCACAAATGTGGAGTGCTTTGAGAAGAGCCCACTGAAGGCCTGATAAGAAGGCCCTGAGTCACAGACCCAGCAAACCTGACCAGCTCCTCACCATACACTGGTCTCAAATCTTCTCTGGAGCAGCTACCAGAGAGGCTGAACTTCGCTGTTTCCTGCTGTGCTGCCTGGAACCTTTTCCACGTTAACAAAGGCTGATGGAAACCTGTATCTAGGGGGTTCTATGTGAGATACTCTCCCTGCTCCCCTGTGGCCTCTCCCTGTGCCAGTCCCTGCCGACGGCGCCGCATCACCGCGCACCAGATGTGCAGGAGGCTGCAAAGAGCTCCCCTCCCTGAGCACAGGCGCTCTCTGTCACGGAAAAAGTAAGTGTTGGTCAGTAAATGCTGGGTAAATGTGTGACTTTGTGTTCAGATAAAGAAAATGCTGCTCCTCGGGGGCGGGTAAGGGCAGGGCAGTCAAGAACTCTGGCAGTGCCTGGGTTGGGAAAGCGCCAGTGCCAGCCCACTGAGAGCTGCCTTACCAGGCAGCTCACCTCCCAGGTGAGGTGAGATGTGGTGAATCCAAGATTACCTTTAGAAAGGTTTACTTGGCTTAAAATGCTTTGTTAGCAAATACTGCTTCTGACTTCTTCTAACTTTTAACTAGCCTCAGTTCACCTGTCTTTATTTTAAATTCAAAGGTACTTCACCCAAAGTGTTCTCATCAGCCAAGCCACTACACAGAGTAGTTTAGTGTTCATCTGTCTCATTTCTTTACTGTCCAAGATGAATCTCAGGGGACTAAAGCTCTGGACCAAGTAGCTTCAGGCAATTCATCTGGAAAACAGAGTCACTTAGACTTTTGTAAAGAAAATAATTTAGTAATCAGCGTAAGAGACCTGTCTCTAAGCCAACCCATTTGGAAAATTTGCCAGTGTAGTAGCTACAAACATTTTTTGACAATAATACTGATGATGTCTTTCCATTATTGCCAGAATTTCTTCTTCCATGCAACTACAGGACCGAACTGCCTTTGCATCATCTTCCATATTCCTGCATTAGAAATGCTTTGTAATTTGAGATTGATGCTGCTGAGCTGGACATTGAGCAGAGACATTTTCCTGAGCGTTTCCCTGCTGACCAATGCAGATAAAACCATGGGGAAGTGAGGAAGCCATTGCTGCCACGCTGCTGGCAGATGTGCCAATTCAGTGCATTCTCACCCAAACACTGAGGTTTCTCAATTTCTTGTACAATATCAGTAGACCAATGTTCCTGTTCATTCTGCTAATTGGATATGTGTACTGACTCTTAAAACTTTTATCTAATCTCAGAGTTCAGGCTCTTATCTTATAGTTTTTTTTTTTTTTTTTTTTTTTTTTTTTTTTTTTTTTTTTTTTTTTTTTTTCCAAATGAGAAAACACTTGTGTTCATGAATACATTTAACAGTGCAGTTTCTGTACCTTCCAACCAGCCAAGGTCCCATTCCACAGTGCTGGATATCACCCAGATGCAAATGATACCTTTCCTTTTTGAAAATTTATCTGGCAAACATAAAATTCGAAGTGAAATACTGCATGAAACAAAGTGAAGGATAGACTGGTCTATAGTTATAGTGTTAATGCAAGGTTTTGGCTGCATGATTTTTAGCTTTGCTTTTCGTTTTGATTTATCTATGGTTTATCATATTTTGAAAGTATAAATGTTAGGGTAAGAACAAAGTTCCTGTACCTGTATTAGTGAGATACTCATTGCTCTCCAGCAACAGTTACATGGTATTTAGGGCAAACTTTTGCAGGGGTTTGCTCTCCTGACTTTTTTGCTTTGGGCTATGTGGAAAAGATGTGGGGCAAAAGCTTCCCACAAAGTGGGAGCAGGGGGACAAGTAGCATGGGCTCTACCATTTCAAGCTCAGGGAATCTCCAGGCACCACTTTTCCCTGTAGTTCACAGCAAGGCAGTCCAGGCTCAGCACACGTATCAAATCTACTGTTTTGCCAGCTTGGTTTCATGTGGTAAAGGTTACTGCCTAGTTAAATTAAACACACAGAAAAATACAAGAAGGAGCAGAAGTGATGTGCCTGGAGGCACTGGAGGCACAGAAGCCTTTATGGTGCCTTTCACTGGCTCGATTACATTTCTGGCAACTATTTTCAGCATTGTTTTTGAGCAATGTTAGTGAGGAGGGAGCAGAAAGAAAATCATTCCAAATTGATGTGCCCTAAGGGCTCATCCAGAAGACTTTCACTAGCTTCATAAAAGCTCCTGCACACTTAATGTAAAAATTATAGCAAAATGGTTTATCTCCTTTTCATAATCTTGTCTTTTAGCCTCTTGCTTTTTAATGTACTACCCTTGTCCCTTAAAATTCAGAGAAGAGTTTTGAAGTTTACATACTATAAAACCCGTAGGTAGCAATCTTGAAGGATGTTTTGAGCAGCACTGTAGCAGAGAGTCTGCACACAAGGTCAAGGCCCCAGGAGGGTCTCACTGGAGACTGGAGAGTTGTGAAGTCCCAGCAGCACATCTTGCTCTGATAGGTGAGAATGATTTGTTAGAATTTGACTAAGAATTCATGAGAAACAAAAAAGCTTTAACATCACCAACCCTTTAGTGAAGAATTGTACTTTTGGAGAGTGTAACTATTTCCATAAAAAAAAAAAACCCTGGTTGCTGTCTAGCAGTAAAAATGCTGTGAAGAACCACACAGGTTGTTTCTGGGGGAAGCATTTCTCTCTTTGACAGCTGCAGTAGAATTGCTTTGTGCTTTTCTTAGGAGAGGAAAAAGCCCCCCATACCCACCAGTGTGCTCTGTATGATCACCTGCAGGATTTACCATCTGCCCTGCTCATCCCCCGGCGGGTGGGAGGTGTGGATGTCCTGCTGCCAGCATTCAGAGACCAAGAGGAGGGGAAACCACCTCCAGTTGGATTTCATAAAATAGCTATTTGTTTCCAAAAAGTGCCAGCAGATTTAAATTACTGCTGCTGTTGTCAACAAGTTTCCCCTGCATATTCTGTAATGATTAAGGTCCTTGGAGGTTGTGGATCACTTATGTTTCTCAGCGTAGCTACAGATTGTGAACATAAGGGTTGCATCGAGGAATTTAAATAATTAATTGAAAGGCAGAGGTTCCTTTCCTTCTGTGTGCTTTGCGTAGGAAAATTCCTGCTGACTCCACGTTTCTTGCTGCTGAAGAAGATAACCTGGTCAGGTAGCTCAGTGTTGACTCAGAACTTGCCAGCTTTTTCACTTGACATAAAGTTGCTCTCAGACACAGCTGCTGCCTTGCTGCTACCAGTGCCAGAGAGTTTGATGACTTAATCAACGTGTTATTCTATCAGGAACCATTTGTGGTTTCAAATCAGATACAGGATGATAATTTTTGTAATGAAAAAAAAAAAAGAGTTAATTTTCTCAAATTCAAAACAAGTCCATCATAAAATAGCCCATGTCCTGTTCCTGCTTTGCTCTGAAGCCAAGACTAAGCAGGTGGTGCACCTAGTCTGAACTATGCAGGGAAGTGACTTTGCTGTTATTATTTGCAGCAAATTTTCTTAGAACCTGATGGCTAAAAAAAAAATTAGGACAGCTTTTTTTTTTTTTTTTTTGTAAATGTTAAAACTGTATCCTTATTTCTTTGTAGTTTATTCTTCATTATGTGATTACTTTCTGTACAGACTGAACCATGCAGCAGAAGTTTGAGGTTCACCTTCCAAAAATCTGAGGGTTAAAATGAAGTGTCAAAACCTTAGATAGACCTGGGTAATACAGACAAACTATAGTCTCTTTTGATCACTTCTAGTTAGGGCTCCTTATTTCTATCTTAAAAAAGAAAAATAAAACGAAGAAAAATATATATAATATTGGACTTCTCTAAAGGAAATACAGCTGAAGGAATACCTATATGGAAAGTGGTTGGGGGAACTTCTTGCAGCCTCACAATTTTGGAAATATAAGGAGCAGGACAATAATCTGCAAAGAATAGGTCCAGTCTTTATGCTTCAGTGAAGTGATGCTGAAAACTTTTAGCTGACACCGTGAGTTGCTCATTAAACCCAAGGGGAAACAATGGACACTTGGAGGCTTTAGGGGTATTTTTTTGTGCAACAGAAAGGATTAGTGCAAGGAAAAACTACAAAATTGCTGATTTTAAGTCTTCAGGGAGTCTGGGCAGTGCTCTACTTTGACAAAGAGCAGATCCAAGGTATGATAAGCCCATTACCAGAGAAATCACATCCTTCTGACGTGTACCCGGCTCAATAAATGCTGCCTGAAACACAGTCAGAGCCCATTACTCTCCCTTGACTGGTGTCTGTGCTCAGCAGTGCAGATGGCTATCTTCTCTCCTGTCTTTTTGAGAGTTTATGGATTACAGAATAGCTCTTTCATGGCCAGTGAAAGCAGATGAGCTAAATACTTAGCAGTGATTCTTTTGACACCAACAGCAGTGCCTGGAAGTGGGCTACTGAGTTTCAGGTTTGTTTTGTGCCCTTCCTGTGTTCCAGCTCCCTTCTGATAGTGAGACCAAGTCAATCAGAGCATCAAGAGGGTTCAGACTACTAATGTGCTCAATATTGACAGAGCTTTATTTCTTAAAAAGAGGGAAAAGTGTGAGTCCTTCTGCTCCATTACAAAGACCATGCTTTTTATGATAAGCAGAGATGTGCTTGTTTACTTTTCCCCTCCCTGGAATTAAATTTCATTGAAACTCTTTACTGTTGCATTGAATTAAAAGCTTCTTCTCCCTATATTTTTATAATATTGCAGGCAACCATTAATTATCTGGTGACTTCCAAAAGAGATTTTTCATTCAAATTTAGCTTTTGCTGTTCATGATTCTAGCTGGTATTAAACACTTCAATAGATCCAGTATATTCAGGTTTTTTGGGCAATATAAAAATGTAGATTTAATATCATTGACCTTTGATTTGGGAGAGCATGTGGGTTAGATTACATGTTACATTTTGTTTTGAAAGGGATTGAAATTTTTTTTTTTCCAAAATTTCAGTTGCAACAAAGTAAAAGCTTTTCATTTTATATGACCCTTTATTACCTGGGCTTCCTTCTAACCTTGTTCTCTGTGATTTTATATTGCTGCAATTCCATTGCCCTTAGAGGACGTGGGACCAAACCCAGGACTGTTGTGTTTGTCCTGAAGACCTTGAGAGCAATCTTGTTTTCGTGTCTCAAAGAAGTTAACACTTGGGTTTGAATCCTGACCTGTGTGTACAATTTAAGTACTAATTTAGCTGCTAGACTGCTCTAAAGCTTCAGCATTAATCAGGAGATAAGCAGTAATCCTGGCTTTTACAAACTTTTGTAAGTTTACAGAATTGCAGAGCTTTCTCTTGCAAGGAAATTTCTTGATCTTATTAACAAGGA